ATAACTTGGGTGTCACAGTGGCACATCCAAACAAGCCACATGAACTCAGTAGTGGTGCACAACACAAAATTCATTCTGCTCATGGGAGGAAACTCTTAGGCTATGTCTACACTGGTGGCTTCTTGCACAAGAATATCTTGCGCAAGGGTTCTTGTGCAAGAACTCTTCTCAAGAAAACGTCCACACTGCCATGTGGGAGATGTGCTTTTGCGCAAGAGCATCCTTGGCAGTGTGGACGCTCTCTTGTGCAAGAAAGCTCTGATGGCCATTTTAGCCATCGGGCTTCCCTGCCCAAGAAACCCCTGCCGCGCGTCCACATTGCCCTCTTGGGCAAGAGAGCTTACACCTGTTAGAAAAGAGCATAGCTCTTGCGCAAGAAGCTCTTTCTTACCACACCTTACTGTAAATTTTCTTGTTCAAGAGCAGGCAGGCCATGTGGGTGCTCTGCAGAAGAATGGGTGTTCTTGTGCAAGAAGCCGTGAGTGTAGATGTAGCCTTCCTTGCTTAGGGTGGCTGCAGCAAGAAGCATCTTGCAGCCCAGCCTTGGGCTGCCAGCAACACCTTAACAGTTAAGAAGGCATGTGGGACCTAAGGGAAGCGGGGGAGGGGAAATCCCTTGCAGGCGTGGGAGGGAAGAGGAAGACCACCCCATTGTCTTCACTGCAAGGAGTGGCCAGAGTTGGGCAAACCCCAGAACCCCTTCCCAAAGTGGGGAGCTGAGAAATGGGAAGAAGGAGCAGCCATAGCTGGGCAAGCCCCAGAGGCTTTTGCTGTGAGTGGGGCATCACTTGATGTTGTGTGGGGTGTTTTTTTTCTTCTCACGGGTGAGGGTGGTCAAATATTGGAATAAATTGCCAAGGGAGGTGGTGGAATCTCCCTCTCTGGAGATATTTAAGAACAGGTTAGATAGACATCTGTCAGGGATGGTGTAGACGGAGCTTGGTCCTGCCTTGAGGGCGGGGGGCTGGACTCGATGACCTCTCAAGGTCCCTTCCAGTCCTATGATTCTATGATTCACTTGTGGGTGGTCTTCAACTGATATCTCTGTGGGTTAGTGGCTCCCAACCCAAAAAAGGTTCTCCTCTGCTGCATTAGAGGTATGGAACAGCTTCACTATGAGAGATTCAAAAGCCTGGAACTTTTCAGCTTGGAAAATATATCAGGAGGGATACAATAAAAGTCTTTAAAATGATCAAACCTGTGGAAAAAGTGAATAACGAAGTGTGATTTACCCCTAGACCCACCTGCATCATAGAATCACAGGGATGGCAGAGACCTCAGGAGGTCACTGAGTCCAACTCCCTGCTCAAACCAGGACCATCCCAAACTCAACCACCTCTCTAGGGAATCTATCCCAGTGCTTCACCACCCTCCTAGGGAAATAGGTTTTCCTGTTATCCAACCTAGACCTCCCCCATTGCAACTTGAGACTGTTGTTCCTCATTCTGCCATTTGTCCCCATTGAGAACAGCCTCTCTCCAGCCTCTTTGGAACTTCCCTTCAGATAGTCGAAGGCTACTATTAAATCCCCCCTCCCTCATCTCTTCTGTAGACTAAACCCAAATCCCTCAGCCTCTTCTTGTAAATCATGTGCTCCAGCCTCCTCATCATGTTTGATGCTCTCCGCTGGGCTCCCTCCAATGCATTCACATTCTTTCTCTAATGGAGAGCCCAAAATTAGTCTTAATATTCCAGATGTGGCCTCACCAGTGCCAAACAAAGGGGAATAATCACTTCCCTTGATCCTTTTTGGCTACAAGGGCCCACTGTTGATTCATATCCAGCTTCTCATCCACTGTAATCTACAGGTCCTTTTCTGCTTAACAGATGCTTAGCCGGTCAGTCCCCAGCCTATAGCAGTGCTTACGATTCTTTCGTCCCAAGGGCAGGACTCTGCACTTGCCTTGTGGAACCTTATCAGATTTCTTTTGGCCCAATCCTCCAATTTGTATACCCTCCAATGTATCTACTTCTCCACATAGCTTAGTATAATCCATAAACTGTGAACTTGCTGAGAGTGCAATCCATCCCCTCCTCCAAGTCATTAATAAAGATGTTGAAGAAAACCAAGGACTTATCCTTGGGGCACTTCACTTGATACTGATTGCCAACATCCTCCTCCCCAGATCAGGAACTACCTTTGTGAGAAGGAGTTTGTCCCAGGGTCTCTTCTTTGCCTTAAAGGCTAGCCACATCCCCAACAAACCACTAGCCACATACCCAAAAATCTCTTACTCTTCAAAGAAGATGAAGATCATTACCCCCATTTTACAGATGGGAAAACTGAGGCACCAGGCAGGGAGGTGACTTGCCCAATGTCACAAATAGGAAAGCAAGGACTAGAGCCCAGGTCTCCATACAGTGCTCTATCCACCAGGCCACACTGCCTGCCATCTGAGGTGCTATGTTGGGGTAGGGAGCACTTTACCTGATGCCTGGTACGGTCCACCGCTGTGAGGAAGAGAAGATCGGCCACAAAGAGGCAGAGGCAGAGCTGCAGGTGGATGGAGGTGTTGACGTTGCGGATGGAGCGGCACAGGAGGAAGGTGAGGATGGCGAGGAGGAGGCACAGCAGGGAGAGGGCCAGCCCAACGTGGGAGATGAGGAATAGCGGGAAATCTGCCTGTTGGGGAAGCAGGGCAGATGGCTAGTTAGGTCACGAGTCATCCCATGCAGCACAGTTAATGCAGATGAGGTGCTGTAGATAATCCCCCTGATTCCTGCCCAGGATGGACTGTCACTGCCCTTCCTGGGGAGCGCAGGCTGAGGTGTGAATAACTCTACAGGGGCCTTTGTTTTAACCATAGGACTCTGGGATCCGAGAGGATTCCATCAGGACCATCCAAAGGTTTTATGGGCCCTGGCAGGACTATCAAACTGGTGCCCTAAACCCCGACAACAGCCGGGGGATGATTTTTTACAGATGCGATTTTATAACCTTCAGCAACACGAATGAAACAGGTTTAAAGCAAATTTTAAACTTAAGTCCCCTCCACTAACACAGTGAAATCAGAAGCTGACAGGATGAACCTGGGGCTGGCAAATGCCTGTTCAATGGCTTCATTAGCACCCGAATGGCTCTCACAGGATCAATGGTCTACTAATAGCTCTGGCAGGCTTGTTTACTTTTAAGTTAAGGGGATCCTCTCTGGAGGAAGCAGAGCCACAGACCAGAGATAGGAAGAGAAGGGGGGTGACCGTTAAAACCCAGTGGTTCCCCCCAAATTTTCAGGTGCCCTACACTGCTGTGTGTTCTGCATGTGGGTAAGGACAGCCCTGGATACCATGCAAGGGGAGCCATCTGCGAGCAGCCCAGAATATGTATCTCCATTGCCCATCAGTGCGTTCTCACTCCAGCCCCTTTGCACTTTCTCTGATACTACCTCCATGTCAGAAGGGGGCTCCCCGTAAACATTCCAAGAGCTACCTCCAGAGAGGGTTGATTTAAATCAAGGTGATTTAAATCATTGCGTTAAATCACCTAAAAAAATCACTGCTACTTCCTCACATATGTCTTCAATTAATGGTGCAAATCTGATCACTAAAACATGTTCCTTTACAGCTCAGTACAGCATTTTATATCCTTCTTGAATTCAAACAAGTGTTGAAGAGAAACACAAGAACAATCCAGGCAAGAAGCGAGGCAGAGGGATGCTAACAGGCAACAACAATCCCATGCCAACAGAGCTGAACCAGCCAGAGAAGCAATGAAGCAGAGGGTAGGGTTTTATATCCTCCTTGAATTCAAACAAGTGTTGAAGAGAAACATGAGAGAAATCCAGGCAAGAAGTGAGGCAGAGGGATGTTCACAGGCAACAACAATCCCGTGACAAACAGAACTGAACCCAGCCAGAGACGCAATGAGGCAGAGGGATGCTCAGAGACGACAACATGCCCAAGCCAAAAGGACAGCAGAGGCAAGAGGAGCACTGAGGCACAGGGATGCTCACTGCCAAGCATAGAATCTGAACACAACTCTTGCAGCTGAAGTTGCAATTCCAGACCAGGCCAAGCTGAGTGTGCATCTACTGTCACAATGGGATGGTAACACTAGTGTAATGTACATGAGAAAATGACACTCAGTGGCAAGTCTCGGTTTCTCTTACCACAGCTTTCTGTGCTGTATATTAGGATGATAGAGTCTAAACCTACTTAACTAATTAAACAAGCCAGAAAGATTAGCTGAGATAAATATTTTTTCTTGCAACATCCAACATAGCAATCAACTTGTCAAATCACACTTCAATCAAGGCAACATAGGGCCCCATTTACACCCAGAAATCAGGACAATGTCTCCATGGCAAAAGGGAATCTAGGCAGCTGTGTGTGCACTGAATAATGTCTTCCCTTTTCCTTTCCAGTCTACTCCACTGCTCCTTTCTACTCTGGCTCCGTCCTTTCCTGTATATCGTCTCACTGTCATTAAACAATGTTTGAACGAACTCTGCCGTGCTTGGCCCAGTTCCCCACCCCATACGCACAGAACAAACCCGATCCTATCCGGCCTCTGGGTGTCTTTCCATGTTACTTACGTCTGCTGAGAAACAGAAACTGAAATCCCAGAATTATCAAGCCAGAGCTGGTTGTTAGGCTGGACAAACTAGAGCCACTAAATCATTTGTATGACACTGTAGGTAGGTGTAGCACGTTTGTGACCACAGTTAATTGTAATTTATTTTTCAATGAGAAATACTTTTTTTAAAAAAAGAATTGATTTTTATCCACCCTCCTACAACAGGGGTGGCCAACACGTGGCTCGCAAGCCGCATGCGGCTCTTCACCCCTGAAAGTGCGGCTCATGAAGCCTCCCCATGAACACCTACAAACAGCCTTTGGCCCCTGTGCTCAACAAATCTGGCTGGTGGGGAACTCTTCCTTTTCTTTTCTTTTCTTTTCTTTTCTTTTCTTTTCTTTTCTTTTCTTTTCTTTTCTTTTCTTTTCTTTTCTCAACAATTCTGGTGGGCTTTTTGCATTTTTTCCGCCAGTGTTTTGGCTCTCTTCGTTTAAGGGTTGGACACCCCTGTCCCACAAGGTTCCCTCGAAGTTGTCGAGCAGCACAGCCATGCAGCTGCTTAATAAGCCAGCCAAGGACTCAGGGCTCTGCATAGGCACCTGCCTGGCTTGGGGAGGGGCTTTTCTAGCTCAGGGACAGCAGCAGCTCCCTACTGAGGACAGAGAATGAGTCTCTACCTTGCCCTGCTACCTCCTTAACCTCATTCAGACTGTGCTGAGAGATGCCCAGCTCCCCCAACAAAGGCTACAGCCTTGTGTTACAAGCCCTGTGGTGAGCACCGTCCCGTTACCGTTATCTCCCCCCATGCCATGAGGACGGCCAGGCTGGAGATGTGGTTGCAGTTGCATGTGGTGTAAGTGGCATTGAAGCGCAGGACCCTGCACCCTGCCGGAGACCAGCTGCCACTCTGGGCTGTGGTTTCCCATGAGACGCAGACGGGCTTCTCGGAGCGGTTGCTTGGCTGCAAAAAAATATTTTTAAAGATAGACAGATAGATAGATAAGTCAAAGGCAGAAGGCATAGCACAGGATAGAAAAAACACGGTGCCAGGAGAGTGGGTCAGGGTCCCCAGTGCCATGAGAGGCAGACGTTCAGAGGCCAGGAATGGGGTACACATGCACCTCCTGCTCTGGGTGCCCCCATTTCGGGACCACTCATGCTGTGGAGGAGGAAGTGGCTGTCTGTACTGCTGCTCCCCTCCCGCAGCTGAGGAACAGCAGCGCAGCGACACGCTTTTCCTGGGGCTTTCCCCCACCGCTCCCATAGCAGAGAGGTCAGTGCCTAGGGATGCCATGGGGCACAGAGCCACATGTGTCCCTGGGAGAGGGGTTCCAGGTAAGCACCCACCCCCATCCATGTCACGCTCAAACCCCACAGCAACCACCCTTGCCTGGCAAAATCTTTAATCTGGCATCCCCCATTTCCTAGGGTTGACAGATTTAAGAAGTTCAAATGTATTGGATTGGGACTCAGGATACCTGGGTTTTAGTCCTGGCTCTGCCACTAGCCTTGACTCAGTCATTCACCAGCTCTTTGCCTCAGTTTCCCCTTTCTCTAGACAAAGGCCAGGTCTACACGACAGCTGTCCACGTCCCTTACTCCTCGCGAGGAGTAGGAGTTCTGCTGCTGACAGGGGCACCCTCATCATTCCATTTAGCAGGCTTTTACAAGAACCACTCACTCGAACACCAGAAGTTCAACTGCCGCAGCATCCATCCTTGCCGTGCTCTAGTCATGGCCTAAGCTCTTGGTGACAAGGACTGTCTCATGCGATGGGCCAAGCCTGCCACAAGGGGGGAGCTGATTTCAGCCAACACAATAACACTAATCCCTTATAGGAGGACAGAGGTGTAGCAGGGCTCTCTATCACCCTACCACAGACAGTGGGCCAGAGGACACCTATGGGGTGGTTTGGAAGGGCTCCCAGCCCTCTGAGTCTGCCTCGGTGCAGCTGAAGCAACCTTTCCCTAATCCTTGTATTAACCCCTGCAGTGCTCTTCATCTGTCAAGCAAAGCTCTTTATAAAGGTCACTATAATTAGCCCCATTTCACAAGTGGGGAAACTGAGGCATGGAGCGAGGTTGGGTGTGTATGTGAAGATGAAAGTCATCCAGCAGAACCAGGAGTAGACACCAAGTCACCTACCAGTGCTCTATCCACCAGGACACATTGTTTCCCCTGTGTTCCTCTTTGCTCACTTCTCCTGCTTCCCAAGTCCAGGGACTGGACATTTACGAGTCTGCTCCTGAGCCTTGGTTAATGGAGGTGGCCTGTTAATGCACTTGGGGAAGAACACAGGAATCCCTCCCCACCTGAGAGCTAATTCAGAGCCATTTACCCCCAGAGGAGCCAGGCTGCTCCTGAAAATCCAGGCTCAACCCCAACGGTCGCTTGTGAAGGGACTTACCATGATGTGCTGGAAGGTGTAGTTCACTGGATCTGTGACTTTGATCTTGGTCTGGCTGGTCAGCCAGGCACTCACCACCCTGGAAATCATCCGGACAGCGTGGCCAGAGGAGTCCTTCTGGTCTTGGAAGAAGCTGCCGTTCATGATGGTTTCCATGCCCACGTAGGAGGCAAACGCCACTCCAGCCGTGCCTGCAAGTGTCCCCAAGGAGAAACCCGGTGGGTTGGCAGCTTCTTTCCCCACGTTCCACCATGGGACTCGCCAAGAACTGTGCAACCTCCCCAGACCCGCTCCAGGTGTGGGGTAATGTTCTGCTTCAACAGGGCTGGGAAGAGAACCAGGTGTGTGGATAGCCACACTTTTACTCGTAGCTGCAGTGCAGACGGCACTGGCGACAAGATGGGGAAGGGGTCTCTAAATAGGGAACTCCTTAATTTTGGGTCTTTGTTTTAATGTTAGATGGAACGGGTGGCTCTTCAATTCCCCCCAAACTATGAGGCAGTTTTTGGAGAGTCCCCGAGAGCTGCCTTATCAAAACACAGTCACAGAATACTAGAACTGGAAGGGACTTCAAGAGGACATCAAGTCCAGTCCCATGCACTCATCACACACTTGATCAGGGCTACTCAACTCTGGAAGCCCCGGGGGTCACAATGATACTCACAGCACATGCCGAGGGCTGCAACTGAAGTGTGGTTGCATATTCATGCAGATATATATGCAAATAGCTTCTTTCACAGTGACGGACATGAATACAAAGATTAAGGCTTTAACTATGGCACCGGACCCAAATGCGGCCAGTGTGAGCCAGTCAGCACCTCTCAGGCTCTGCCCACAAGACTTAGCAGACAGCACTTCCCACAATGCCCTGGAACTCATGGACCTCCTCCCTGGGGGCTAGAAACGCCAATACCCTGTACCCATTTGTTCCAGCCAGCCCGTCCGCTTGTGTCTTTCAGTGCTCACCCAGCCTGGGAGACGCCTCGCCATTGTGGAGCGTGTTCCCAGAGGAGGCCATGTTTAAAGAATCCCACCTGTGGGCCCCGTGTTGCGCCCTGTGTAAACCCAAACTGCACTGCAGGCTGCAAACAAATGGGCTGCGGGCTGCATGCAGCCCACAGGACATGTGTTGAGTAGCCCTGATCTAGATCATCCGTGACAGGTGTTTGTCTAACCTGCTCTTAAATAGCTCCAAGGATGAAGATTTCACGACCTCTCTAGGCAACTTCTGCCAGTGTTCAACCACTCTGACAGGACGTTTTTCCTAAGCACCAACCTACTCCCCTTGCTACAATTTAAGCCCATTGCTCTCTTGTTCTATCATCAGAGGCTGAGGAGAATAATTTTTCTCCCTCCTCCTTGTAACACCCTTTTAGGTACTTGAACATCTGATATTAACAGAGCTGGCTGGTGAAAACCTTGGGTATGTCTACACTACCCTCCTAGTTCGAACTAGGAGGGTAATGTAGGCATACCGCACTTGCAAATGAAGCCCGGGATTTGAATTTCCCGGGCT